GGCCCCCCCCCCCCCCCCCACACACACACACACACACACACACACACTTTTACTATAAAACATTAGTTCAGGCGGCGCAGTTTCTCTTTCTTCGTGAACGAATCCATTCCACTTGATTAACAGGATAATACTCAAGCTACTAAAACTCCACTCCAGGTTTTCCTGGTTACCTCCAACTCTCCACCGTCCCTTCCCGCCTCTTGCCTCGGCAGAAAACGCGCACAGGTGAAGGAGGTGGAGGTACCTGTGTTACTTGCTCGCCAGTTTAGCAGCTTAGTGCGGGCAGTTGTTGACCAGGGGGTTGATCATAAACATATATTCATGTTAGGAGGATGTTTGAGAGGAGCTACGTCTGTAGCATCTTAGCTTAGCAGTAACTGTGACGCTGTGAGACGCTGCAGGTGTAAGAGACGCTGTGTGTTCAGGTGCATTAAAGTTGAAATGTCTTTAAACCCCCACACCTTATTGTCCTCAAGCTTCATGACAAACATAAGTTAGATGAGTAGTGTTGAACACAAGTAAAAAAGTCCAGTGGTGATGTTTTTTATTTCACTATAAACACAAATAGTGCCTATCTGAAATGCATTAAATTTAAAATGTTCTTAAAACCCAAAGCTGAATGTACGGTGAGAAACATGCTTTAAATGGAATTAAAGTAAGGAAATCTAAATGAAATGTTGCTTTTTTTGTACACTAGTGTACAATTTATTGCACAGTGGTGCGCGTGCAGACGCACACACTACAGTGTTCCCCTACATTACAGATGCTTCTAACACCCATTCACATCACATGTGGTATATGAGGTGGAACAAAATTATGTACTCAGGGTCCCAGTTACACCCAACAAGAGCAAAAATATAAAGTGTAAAAAGAAACAGTAAATGATTGGGGCCGAGATGGTGTAGAGGCAGGGCAGCCGGCTTGGGACCCGAGAGTCCCAGGTTCGATCCCCAGTCACTGCACATCACGTGGCGTCTCTGGGCAGCACGTCTAATCCCCAAAATGTCCCCCGGGCGCTTTCAATAGCTGCCCACTGCACCACCTGGTGGTGGATGGGTTAAATGC